TAGTTTACTATGAATACTTTTCATTATCTGTACCCTCCATTGGTGAGAATTTCTGCTAAAATTAACCCTCATTTATTTTGTGATGACTAATAAAAATTATATTCAGCCAAACCTCAGGCATCCTGTATGCCTTGAGGCTATTTTCATTGCCCACTTATGCATAGAACACAATAGATGCCTAATAAATATCTGTTGAATGACTAAATGACTCCTCCTATGAATCCTAAACTGATATTTCCAGCTTACTATTCATCATCTCCATACTGATATCCCACAGCTACATCAGACATGTCTCTATTTGTCTTTATTGCCTCACAAAAACATGCACTCTGCCATCATTTCCTCTTGATTAGTGTTTGCAACACTAGTGACATACTGAATAGATACTGATGCAATAAATAGTTTTTATTGTTAAAGCATTATACTTCTAGTACCAATTTATTTTTCACACACACATATAAAACTCAGTCATGAATCATTAATAATATTTAGGTGTTGATAATAGGCCAAATTCTCAGAATATAATCTAATAAAATAAAAAGTAATTACATAAAAACTCAATTCCTTAAAATAAGAAGTAGACTGAATAATCAATGGAATAAACCATTTAAATCTTTTAAATTACAAAGAGAAAAAGAACTTCCTACCACAGCTTTTGGGACACAATTAAAGCTTGTCTGAGAAGAAAACTTAGCGCCTAATATACTGTTATCATAGTGGAAGAAAAAGACTAAAAATTATGTGCTGAGCATTCATGTTGATAAACAAAGTAAAACAAAATGAGCTAAATAAGATGGAAGAAACTATTTTGAATGAAAGAGGAAATTATTTCAAAAATTAAGCTGGATGAATATATCCAAAATCAGTTCTTAAAAAAAAAAAATCTAGGGCTTCCCCTGTGGCGCAGCGGTTGAGCGCTGGGTTGTGAAGCTGCCCGCAGCCTCTGCAGCACTGCTCCCAGTTCGATCCCGGCTGCTCCCCGGCCACCAGAGGAGGGTCCCACATGGCGTGCAGACCTCTCCTGCCGCCCGCTGCTCCCCTCAGCAGTGTACTTCGTCAGTCTCCCTGTTCTACTCCCCGCTCTGGCTCTGGTGAATTCTCTCACCCTCCCGCGCTTCTGACTGTACCCAGTACTTGTATAAATAATAAATAAATAAATAAATAAATCTTAAAAAAAAAAAAAAAAGTGAAGGCAACTCAGGGGAAAAAGGGAATGGAAGATAAATGTGGAAGAGGACTCTGACATTGCTCTCTGTTAAGGCTATTCTGGACACTTAATCTGGCAATAGTTATGTGACCCAGCAATTAGTTCCTGTCACTTTTCTGTAGGTATAACAATTGTTGGAAGGATATATGGTAAAAATTCTTATTGCAACATTGTTGGCAGTGGCAAAAAAAAAAAAATAATAATGCTTAAAATACCTGGGAAACACCCAAATGCCCTATTAATGACAGGTAGATGTTATTTACTTAAAGCACCATGCAGCTATTTGTCCTTAAATTAATTCAATTTAGTGATATGAAGAGATCTCTGAAATCCACTAGATAGAATGAAAAAAATGCCCTGGAAACTGGACGGAAGTCTGAAAATCAGGCTGAGGAGAAATTATGTAGAGTATGCTCTCATTTAATAACAATAAACCCCCAAATTCATATATGTGGACATCAAAATAATGCTATTACCACCAGTAGTATTTATTTTGTGACAATATTGTTTCAAGCATTTCACATATTAAATCATTCAAAAATTCACTGCAATGTTATGTAGTAGACACATTGTGAGCCTAGTTTTACTAATGAGGAAATTGAGTCAGAAAAGACAAATAACTTTCCTAAGGTCAAACACGGATAGGGTTGATGCTGGAATTCAAACTGTGGCGCTTCGTACCTAGAATCTGTGCACACAGCCATTATGTGTCACTTCTAATGTATGTCTCTAAGTGACTGGGTAAGTTTACTAAAAGTTTTGGAAGGAACATGAGGGAGGATGTGGACATAAAGAATGTAAGGTTGTATATTTTTAAAGATTTATTTATTTATGCATACAAGAACTAGGATACAGGCCAGAGGTGTGTGGGGGAGGGTGAGAAGATTCACCAGAGACAGAGTGGGGAGCAGAACAGGTGGATTGACTGAAACACACTGCTGAGGGGAGCAGCAGGTCATACAGGAGAGGTCTGCTGCGCCATGTGGGTAGCTCCCTGGCTGGGGATTGGCTTCATAGTGCTGTGGCTGAGGAAGGCTTTATAGTGCTGAGACTTAGCCCCTTGCGCCAAAAGGGAGGCCCCTAATTGCCATAATTTTATTATTTTTTAAGATTTATTTATACAAGAACAGGGTACAGGCCAGATGCGCTGGAGGGCAAGAGGCCTCACCAAGACAGAGCAGGGAGCAGAACAGGAGGGGAGCAGCGCGGGTGGCAGGAGAGGTCTGCCATGCCCTGTGGGACCCTTGACAGCGGGCCGGGATCGAACTGGCCCTGCAGAGGTCTTGGACATCTTTACAGCGTGGCGCTCAACCGCCTGCACCACCAGAGGAGGCCCTAATTGCCATAATTTTAAATAAAATTTACCGAATGCTGTATCTTATCATATAATAAACAACAAATGTTTAAATAGAAGGGACAAAATCAAGAAAGGTCAACCAAAAATTATGATAAATCTTAGGTCTTTTTTTGTCAGAGTTCTGTTACTTTAATTGCCTCTATTTGTTTATTTAACTATTCTTTTTATTTATTTTTAAATTCTTTAAGTACTCAACACTTTAAAATGCAAGAGATATGAAACACCAGTTTGATCTTTATCAATTTATATACAAATAAGTATTAAGTCAAAGTATTTCAACTTATTAAAATGAAATATTTAAAATGTCCCCATATCATTACTTGGGTAAGTTATTTTATTTTTGGAAAAGAGTTATTTTCTCAAAAATGGAGAAACTGATAGTCTTGACCATTAAATCTGTCACCATGGTCTAGTCTGTTTTTTCCCTCTTCTTGTCAATACTGTCTGCAGTTTTGTTACTTTACAATACATTTTATTTAACTTCATGTTTCCTGCTCAGAAATAAATTATAGGAAGAAGGGAAATCTAATTAAACTGGAAAGGTTTGAAAAGAAAACACCAAGACAGGGGTTAGTCTTCGTATTTTCCAACATATGTTTATAAATTGGCTTCTGGATAACATTTATGAAGAACTGGGCCTCCCTGGTGGCGCGGTGGATTGAGTGCAGCGCTGTGAAGCTGTCCTCAGCTTCTGCAGGGTGGTTTCAATTTCTGCCAGCCAGGGAGCTACCTACATAGCGAGGCAGACCTCTCCTGTCTGTGCCTCAGCAGTGTATTTCAGTAGATCCTCCTGTTCTGCTCCCCACTCTGTCTCTGGTGAATCCTCTCACCCTCCTGCACATATGTCCTGTACCCGAGTTCTTGTATGCATAAATAAATCTTTAAAAAAATATATGAAGAAGTCTAGGGTCAACTTCCAGCACTTTCAAGCTACTCCACAGAAGTATATTAACTGAAACTTCTTTATGTTGCTGGGACTCACAAGTTGGTTCTTTATGTTGGCTGAATATCTCTGAAAATAAATAGAATAAGGTTAAGATATATGAAACTTATCATGTAGTAACAAAAATGTTTGTCCAATAGAAATTTAATTCCAAATAATCTGATGATTACAGCTAAAGAATAAGGAGTTTCAGTCAACATTTAATGCATGTTTATTGAGCACCTACTGCAGAACTGATTAACTAGCACATGCAAGGCCCAAACCCCATGATGCTGAAATCACAGAGAGGTAGATACATAATATACATGAAAATACAATTACTCTAGACAGTTTTTGAGGCTTTATAGTATTTTCTTTACAGATTATAAAATGATGCCCTATTGGGAAGTACTCAGCTTCCCAGTTTGGGGAACAATTTGGTATGATTTACATTTAAATAAAAAATGAAATGACAGTGAGGAAGGTAGACTCAGTAGGATACACTGGCTGATCAGCCTTCACCTGTCATGATGGAGGATCCACTTGGACTTTCCAGTGGGGATCAATGACTAAGTACAGCGCAGGTGCAAGGGCCTGGGCTTTCAAGGGTAGCTTCTCTTGCCAAACCGAGATTGACTTTCAGAACTAGAAGTCACGATTAAAAAAAAAAAAATGCATGCCTTTATTTTAACACCTCTGGACACTTCTGAGCGTTTTCAAGGCAGAATCTAGGGAAACAAAAGTAAATAATACAGACTTGCTCCCTCGTGATGGATCTAATCTGGTGGAAATGTGTATGAAGAAATACTTATTTTAAGCAGTATGAGCATGGCAAAATGCTTGCACCACAGAGGGCACACGAATCTATTTTATCACTTGCCTTTGAGGACACAGGGCTTGACACTGGAGCCAATGAATAAACTGTGCAGACTGGGCAGCCAGGGGCGTCTCAGGGCGACCAGGGCCATGTCCCTGAGCAGGGAGGCAGCACGGCGTGGTGCTGCCAGGCCGTGGACCATCAGAGGTTGAGACAGCAGCTTCTCGCCCGGCTCCTCGCTCCCTGGGCAAGTGGCTTCTGCCTCCGAGCTCATAGGCCTCGGGGCGCCCCTGGGCCGAGTGGGGAGGGGGGCAGGAGAGACAGAGAAACTTTGTGCCACGGCCGAATTCCCCTCTAGAGGACAGGCAAACACATGGGCAGGAAATCAGACGCAACCAGGCAAAGAAAAGGTCAAGCTTTGAAACGCCGACGGAGGGCGGCTCCCCAGAGGGCCCGGGGGCGCGCGAGTCTTGGAGGAGGAACCACAAAGCAGCAGCAGGTGTCGGCGCGGGAGCGCGAGGGCCCAGGGGGCAGTTGTTAAGAAAAGGAAGTGAAACTCCCCGTTGGCGCTCTGCACGGTGTTTTCTCACCTTCTGTCCCCGCAGCTCCCCCACTTCCCCGTCTCCAGACCCCGCCCCCCGCGCTTCCGCTCCCCCTCCCCCACCGCTTCTGCTTCAAAGGCGCGGGCGGCCGTCGCTGCGCAGCGGGGTCCTCTGCTGTCCGGGTCCTCGCCGCCGGGTCCTCCTGTCCCGGGTCCTCTGCTGTCCGGGTGCTGCTGTCCCGGGTGCTCCTGTCCCGGGTCCTCCTGTCCGGGTGCTCCTGTCCCGGGTCCGCCTGTCCCGGGTCCGCTGTCCCGCGTCCTCCAGCCATGGGCGCCGGGCCCCGCTGGCTGCTGGCCGCCCTCCCGCTGCTTCTGGCCTGCGCGGGCCGCGCGCGCGGCGACACCCCCGCCAACTGCAGCTACCACGACCTGCTGGGCTCCTGGCTGCTCCAGGTGGGCCCCGGCGGCCTCCAGCGCGACGTCAACTGCTCGGCCATGGGTAAGCGCGGGCTGGGCGCTCGGTGCCGCGACGCCTCCCTGTGCGCCCCGAACCCCGCCGGCGGCGCGGGGCGCCCCAGCTCCGCCCTGCCCGCGGGAGCCCGGCGCGGGGGTGCGCGGGGTGCGCGGGGTGCCGTCGGGCGCGCTCTGCCGCCACGTGGAGCTGAGCTGCAGGAAACTGGAACTTCACTTTCTGCAGGAACTTTTCCCGCCCCTTGAGTTCTGCTTTTCCTTTGCGAGAGTTGAAACCGCGCAGTTGTCACCTTCTGTAGGCTGTGGAGGGTGCGCGCGTGTGTGTGTGCGCGTGTGCGTGTGTGCGCGTGTGCACGCTGGGGAAAACAAATGAGCAAGGCGTGCTTGGAGGAGAAAAGGAAAAGCAGGAGGAAAGTTTGTTCCTTGCCGCTGGCGGGACAGCCGTGGCGCGCCCTGCCCGGGAGGCTCGCAGAGGCGCAGCGAGCAAAGCTACCCACGTTTTGTTTCTTAAACTGATTCCTGAGCCAGCGCGTGTGTTTTGAAATGACCAGAGCTCAGCGTATGCCTGACTTCTGCGAGCCTCTGAGTGAACACCCCGCGTTGGGTCCGCGCTGGGCACAAGGTCCTTGTGCCTGCTCGGAGCGCCTGACTGAGCGCCAGGAATTCCACCCGGGTGTGTGGCAGAGCCCGCGGGGTGCTGGGGAGGCTTTGCTGTCCTCCCAGCCCTCAACCACCCCCCGCGACTCGTGAGGGTTACTTACACGCCCAGTCCAATTTCCTGTCAGCAGAACAAAGATTCAGGAGGTTCTTACTGAAATGGCCCCACTCAGCACCTCCCTTGCAGATGCTGTGGGACTCTCATAACGCTGGCCATTTCAGCCTCTTTTTTTTTTTTTTTTTTTTTTTTCTTTTAAAAGCTGAACTTGGTGGGCAGGGATCAGGATCGTGTAGGGTCGCGTCCACTCTCTTAAGTCAGGGCATTACCGGAGTGCGGGGCCTGGCTGTGGTGTGCACACAGTAGGACCGTTGCAGACAGCCCTGCCCGCTGAACACACCTCGGCCTTCCTCTAATAGTTGCACACCCTGGAAGACCTGAGCGGCCTTCTTCTGGAGATTGAAAGTTTAGTTCCTATCAGCAGAAATTAGCTTCCTAGCACAGCACTCTCAAGGTTGTTGTGTCCTTTGGAAGGATGCATATGCTGAGGTTCTGGACTATAAAACCACTGAGGACCAAGACACCCTTCTCTGAAGAGACCATTTCTTTTGTCCTTTTGATCTGATGGCAGGGATTCTTATGTTTCCCTTTCTGTGACCATTTTTTCATTTCTCTCTTTCTACCTGTCATTTCCAGCATTTCCCCTTTCTCCCTTTCTTCAGTGTTTTGATATTCTGCTGTGCCTGTACCTCTGCTGGCTGGGCAACATGTCACCTCTCTTTTTGCTTCCTTGGTCCTCAGGCTTACCTGCGATGCTTTGACCCACCCAGAGGGAGGCTGCCTGGCGAGACTGATCTCTTCATAAGCCGTTGGGCACCATATGGGTAGAATGAAAAGAAAGTGCTTAAAAATAACGGCAATTATTGAGATTTTTCTTCCTATTGAAGATTAAGAATTTTCTTCCTATTGAAGTTAAATAATGTTCCTTTTTGTGTGTGTGCATCTTTTTTTTTTTTCTTTTTTTTTTTATTTAGGACCACCAGAAAAGAAAGTACTGGTACACCTAAAGAAGTTGAATACTGCTTATGATGACTTCGGCAACTCTGGCCGTTTCACCATCATTTACAACCAAGGCTTTGAGATTGTGTTGAATGACTACAAGTGGTTTGCCTTTTTTAAGGTCAGTTTTGTTGGCAACTGCCTTTGTATTATCAATAACTTGATAACTGAAGACTCTTTTAATCAGAAGACCCTGAAAATTTTAATTTTAGCTTAAGAAGATAATTTTTCAAGAGAAATTAGATGGCATAGTTTTGCCACATATAAGAATTGTGATTTCAGTAGGCTTTAAAAAGCTATCTATATTTGAGTACTGATAGGCCATCTGTATTTAAATTTTCACTTGCATAAGTACTAAATACTTTATTATACCTTCATATCTTTTTTTTTTTCTCCCAAAGATTTATTTATGCATACAAGAACTGGGGTATAGGCCAGAGGTGCGGGTGGTGAGAGGATTCACCAGAGACAGAGTGGGGAGCAGAACAGGCAGACTGACTGAAATACACTGCTGAGGGGAGCAGTGGGTGAGACAGGAGAGGTCTGCTCGCCATGTGGGTTGCTCCCTGGCCAGCAGGGCATCAATCTTGTCCTGCAGAGGTTCCAGACAGCTTCACAGTGCTGTGCTTAACCCCTTACACCACGAGGGAGGTCCTCTCCCTTCACTTCTACACCTTATTTGTGTGGCTTAAGTCAGTTTGTTCTGAATCTGTAGGACATACATGGGTGTTACAGATTTTCTTGTTACAGATTTTCTTGGAATTATTATGCTACCCTCTGATCATTGCTTGTTGGCTCTGAGAAATTGAACTAAATATCTCAATGAAATACTGTAATGCACTAAGCAAGATAATAAGGATAACTTATTTGGCTAACAAGACAAAGAGGAGAGACCATTAGATAACTTTTCTGGCCAATTCAAGTAAAATGTAGCCATTCCAGCTAGTTTTCATCTCTCACTAGGGAAGAACTTTAAACACTTTGTTTCCAGTTTTTGCAATGTAGATAGTTTACCACAGATTGCTGTCCACCTCAGATATTCTTTTGAAGTTGGCACTTTTCCTCTTAGCAGAGTATTGAGTGGCTTAAGTAAATTGCATCCTCAAATCTAACTGTTTCTTATTACAAACAGAGTAAATAAAGACAGACTTTTTCATAGGATGGTGTTTACAGCCCTGGAGCATCTGGTAAGGGTTGAACAATTACAGAGATTTGTGGGAAAGTGGGGGGTGGTAAAGAGGATGAAAGAGAAAGCACCAATAAAAGACAGACTTCTAAATTTACTGTGATTTCTCACATTGGTTGTGATTTCATCAGTATGATACAGTGTTGCATCATAGCAAACGTATTTCTCAGAATAGTACTCCCCATTAACTTTTTAATTATGAAGACCATTCTTTAATATGGAAAAGGATAAGAGAGAGGAAAAACTAGTTTCTCTTCAACTGCATTGACAGGTCTGCTGTTCTATCCATATGGCCTGTTGAAGGCAGGCAGTGACTTTATTAGCTGAAGCCCATGCTTGATCATGTATTAAATATTTTTAATACCCAGCCTCTCTGGTGGCACAAGGGGTTAAGATGCAGCCTATGAAGCTTTTCAGAGCCACTGCAGCATGAGTTTGAGCTTGGCCAGGAAGCTACCCACATGGCAGACCTCTCCTGCCTCCCTGCTGTTCCCCTCCGCAGTGTATTTCAGTCGTCTCCCTGTTATGTTCCCCACTCTGTCTCTGGTGAATCCTCTCACCCCCCCCACATCTCTGGCCTGTACCCCAGTTCTTGTATGCATAAATAAATAAATTTAAAAAATATTTTAATGTCACCACTTGATAGTGTATATTTAAAAAATCATAATATTTATGTAAATTTAAAGTGTAGTTTGTATGTGGTAAATGTCAATCAATCTGAACATAGTGCTTAGATCTTCAAATAAATAAACCTAGAGCTTTGTAGACCTGTTGTTGATACTCTGTCATAGTCCCTCGAAAGATTTTTGCTTTCAGTTGAGAATCAGTTGCCATTGGAATTAATGCACAAGAGATGTTCAAGACAAGTGTTACTATACACTTGCTCAGGCCCCTCATTTTTCCTCCCCTTTCCCTGCTTTTCCCCTCACCTCCCTCCCTCCTTTCCCTTTCTGTGTGACACATAATATAAGGCTTTTAATCAATATTTGCTTAACAAATGAAATTGAATGGATCAAGTGGAATTCACTTGAAAAGGGGGGATTGAATAAATGATTTAAATGCAAGATGGGGAGCTGTATATAAATAAGTAAATAGGTTGGTTTTTTTTTTTTTTTCAATTTGGCTTAGAAACTTTTTCAATCTTCTATACAATTAGAGAAACTGGTGGGAAAATTTCTAAAATTACCATTTAATTATAAGAGACATAATTAGAAACAGAAAAGAGCAGATCTCCTTTACTCTCAGCTTAAATAGAAATCTGGAGTTGGAAGGTGCAGAGAGAATAGCTGGTACGAAAGGAGGAATCAGAACACTTCTTTGTATTTCTTTTTACATTTCAGTGTATGCAGGCTGATATTTATACATAGCCTCAGAACATTAACCACAGGTCAATAGAAAATCACCTTTTAAAGCGAAAGAAGGTTGCAAGTGTTCTGAATTTTAAGTGAAAGAGCTAGTAAATGCACTGCTGTATGGTGATGCCCTGTCTGATCACATGCCTCTGGATGGCATTCTGTCATCCTGCTGACTTCGATTTATTTTTAAGTGTCCTTTCGACAGAGTCATTATCAGGGCTGTTTTCATTTCCTGCTGAAAAATCAACCACTCCAGTAAAAAGTTAGGTCTTGTGATAATGATTGTCATTTCGATAAGCAGAGTAGATGATTTTCTTGATATTTTGTTATTAAAAGTTTTCTTTACATAATCAAATGATTCCAGTTAAACTTGTTTTGTTGAGTGATAAAATGGCTTGCTGTTTTAACAAACCCAACTGAAAGAATATTAGGTAGCAGAGTTTAAAAAACAAAATATGGAAAAGTTGGTAGAGTAGAATTGACTTAAGATTATAGGAAAGTCAAGCACTTTCGGAAATATTTATTAACACAGAAAGCTTTCTGAAGTGTACCATAAGTGTCAGGATATTTCCTATAGTGGTCTGGGGAAACCATGTCTGGTGTGTAACTGAGGAAAAACAGTAAATTATTTATTACTTTTTAAATAGTTTTATTAAAGTAGCATTGTACTATATTGTATAAATTGCAGGTATGACCTATTTAAGACAGAGTCTACCTATACTTACTTAAATTCACTCCTAAGCCATTTCTCTCTATATAGGATAAATACATTTGATTCTTTTTTCCTGATTAAACTAGTTTTTTTTTTTTTTTTAAGATTTATTTATGCATACAAGAACTGGTATAGGCCAGAGGTATGGAGAGTGAGAGGATTCACCAGAGAGAGAACGGGGAACAGAACAGGCAGATTGACTGAAATACACTGCTGAGGGGAGCAGCGGGTGAGACAGGAGAGGTCTGCTTTGCCATGTGGATAGCTCCCTGGCCAGGGATCAGACTTTTGCTGCGGAGGCTGTAGATAGCTTCATAGGTTGCGACTTAACCCCTTGCACCACTAGGGAGGCCCTAAACCAGTTTAATAGGTAAAGCAAATGAAAGTTTTACTACAGACTTTATTTTATTTATTTTTTTTAAATTTCTTCTGTTCTTTTTTTTAATTTTTTAAAGTTTATTTATTTATAGAAGCACTGGGTACAGTCAGAAGTGCGGGAGGTTGAGAGAATTCACCAGAGCCAGGGCAGGGAGCAGAACAGGCAGACTGACAAGTACACTGCTGAGGGGAGCAGCAGGCAGCAGGAGAGATCTGCGTGCCATGTGGGACCCTCGCTGATGACCAGGAATTGAACCGGCGCTGCAGAGGCTGCAGGCAGTTTCACAGCCCAGTGCTCAACCGCTGCGCCACCGGGGAGGCCCAAATTTTACTACAGACTTTAGAAAGTATCTTTTAATGAAGAATTATCAAAACTTAAGCAGCATTGTTATCCATGGTTAAGTGTTTTATGTATCTATAACATTATTTTCTCAGGAAATTTTATTTTATTTTTCTAAAGATTTATTTGTTTATACAAGCACTGGGTACAGTCAGAAGGGCAGGAGGGTGAGAGGATTCACCAGAGTCAGAGCGGGGAGCAGAGCAGGCAGAAGGACCGAAGTACACTGCTGAGTGGAGCAGCGGGCAGCAGGAGAGGTCTGCGCGCCATGTGAGACCCTTGCAGGTAGCCAGGGATCGAACCGGTGCTGCGGAGGCTGCGGGCAGCTTTGCAGCCCAATGCTCAATCACTGCGTGACTGGGGAGGCCCCTCAGGAAGTTTCATATGTATATCTGCCAGTTACTCTATGCGTTAATATCTGTACATTATATACATTATTCTGTATGTCAGTTGGGGTTCCAGATTTCTTCAGTGACTTTTCCCAGACCCTACTTGTTCCTTTTTACCCTTACATTATATTTTCATCATTTTTTTTTTATTGTTGTTCCTCCTAAAAACTTGCAGAACGTGTGATACTTGAAGGGTATTCTCTTTGGCTCCTGATCCATCTTCTCTCCAGAGCCTCCCGCAGCTCATCGGAGAAGACATCTCCACATCCTTCTTCCTGCATTCCACCTTTAAAGCAATTGTGATATCACTTTTATTATAAACTTGCTGTAATTAATTCTCCTTATTCAAGCCTTATTTGAAAGATGGATATTTTCACGATGTGGGACTTCTACATTCCCCCCGCCCCTTGATTTTAATTTCTTGAGAATTTGGGAATAGAACAAGGGTAGTATTCTTTTTTTTTTTTTTTTTTTGCATGTGACTTGACTCAAAGTCTTGTGTAGTTTGAATTGGTTCAGAAGCACTAAATAGCTATTTTTAAAGATCTTTTCCTACTCAGCTTCCTGTACACATTCAGTTATTTACACTTTGTGGTAGCTACACACACAAATACAATTAGAAACCACCTGAACAGATACCTAAGTATTTAAAACAGCTTTGTATAAAACAGTAAGGTTAAACCTATGGCAAAACAAACTAATCTTAGAGATATTCAATCAAAATTTTCTTTTAAAACACTATACTGACTATAATAAAAGACAGTCTTCCTGCAGGACAGTTTTAATAGCATTTACCATTTGGTTATAATTGGCACAAACAAATTTGCACCCCTTGAAGTACCTATATATTAAAAGCAGCCATCTTGTTCTATAAAAGCACAGTGCAATAAAACAATGTAATTCTGTCTAATTATATGATAAGTGGTTAAGTATTTTTTTCTTTATGCTTTTATGTACTTGTTCATTTTTATGATGAACATACATATAGCTTCTCTGTACACATGATTGACCTCTGCCAAATTACCCAGAGGGAGGAGTCATATGAAACACAGTAGACTCCAAAGAGGATTTCTAATTTTTAAGTTTCTCCTTGTACTTCTCAAAGGCTTGAAAAAAAACTGACTAGAAAAGGGAGCAATAGGGAAAGAACTCAGATTTTATTTGCAGATTAAGCTACTCAAGGGCTGGAGAAGATGCAAGGATGGAAACAAGACTTGTGACTGAAAATTTTATTGGGAGATGGTCAAGCAAATGTCATTGATCTCTAATTAAGTTTTTCCTGGGACTCCACCAGACTTACACTGGCTGTAAAACTAAAATAACATCATCATGGGTGTTTGTAAAGCATATTGCTACTTAAAACAAGAGTGGTATGGTGAGAAATCCGTATCAGAGGATTTACTTGCCCATTTTGTGTTCTAGTGGCTTTTAAATTTTAAGCTTGTCACAATAGTCAGAAATGTCAGTGATATATATCTACAATAAAGGTTTTGGAAATAATTTTCCACTGTGACTTCAGGGTTCACTTTTAAGATGCAACAGTACAGCTTTTAGAATACTTATTGGGATATACTTACTTGTTTTGATATTGAGTCAATGCACTAAAATCAATATTTTGTCTTAAAAAATAACAAAGGTTTTCTTTTAAGAGCATTCCATTTGAGGGTGAAAGAGTCAAATTTTAATTTGATGTTTGTGTCACTGCTCTGTCTTCTTTGGTGTTGAAGATAATTAATCCCATCATAATGACTCAGTTTACCAAACTTTTTATAGGATGTCACTGATTTTATCAGTCAGTTGTTCATGCAACTGGGAACAGTGGGGATTTATGATTTGCCACATCTGAGGAACAAGCTGGGTGAGCGTTATTGAATTATTTTCAACTTTCTTATTAAAAATAAGTTTTGCTCCTGCCTGGTGGCTGATGGAAATAAACATCTCTTCATCAGGAGGAGAGAGAGAGAGAGATAAATGGGTGCTGCTCTGGTTTTCTCAGAGATTTCTGGCTTGAGCTTGTTTATTTGCTATTTCTCACCTGCCTGCATTATTTTACTTGAGTGGCTTTTCACTCTACTATGCTCTGTTTGCAATTAACTCTCCCAACTATCATGCTCAAAACATCAGCAATCATAAATCCAAAAGATAAAGACCCAGTTAAGAATAAGACTGGTTCAACTTCTCTTCATATCTTTCAAGTACCTATGCTGCATTAGGTAGCTCATTCGTCTCCTAAAAAGACTCTCACGAGGGAAGCTGTGAGGCTAAGGCATTTTAGGTCTGTCCTCTCCTGGAGAAGGTTGCACTTCAGAGAAGCTGGCATACCTGTCACTCATCCCTGTAAGATGTCACCCATCATTTTAAAACTGGCTCCTTCCTAAGGACATAGAATATTGACTTTTCACTCTACATTCTCTTAACATTTTCAGAATTTATATTTTAACCATTGATTTTACTGAAGCCATAAATTTAGTCATCTGATTTTTTTTTAATTTTATTTTTACATAATTGTTCATTTTTGCATAATATTTGATTTCTCCCCTCAGGTGCAATCCCCATAAAATGCCCATGCCCAGATCACCCTTGAACTATCAATATGGTCTCTTGTGAGTTCTTCCCTCCCCTTTTAAGACCCTTTACCCTGCCACTCCCCTGTGGTATGTCTCAGTTCTGTAGTTTGCAACTTTTTGTCTTTAGTATTTTCCCTGACCCTTGTTCAGTTTCCCTATATCACTCCTATAAGTGAAACCATTTGGCATCTTCCTTTTTCCTTTCACTGAGCATTATTCCTTCCAGCTCCATCCATGTTGCTGCAAATGGCTTGAGTTTACTTTTATGATTGCTAAATAGTATTTCTTGGGTATGTGTACCACATCTTATTGATCCAGTCATCTGTTTTGAATATTTAGGTTGTTTCCCTATGTTAGCTATTGTAAATAGTGCTGCAGTGAACATAGGGGTGCAGGTTTTTTTTGGAATTGATGTTTGTATCCTTTGGGAAGATTCCTAGGAGTAGAACTGCTGGGTCATATGGTAGATCCATTTATAGTAATTTGAGGGTCCTCTCCACAGCTTTCCATAGTGTTTGGGCAGGTTTGTTTTCCCACCAGCAAAGGATTCTTTTTTTTCTCCACATCCTCATCAGCATTTGCTGTTGTTTGTTTGTTTGTTTTTCTTGCTGTTTGTTTTTTTGTTTTTTAACGTGGGCCATTACTGGTATGAGATGACCTGTCATTGTGGCTTTGATTTTCACTTCCCTGATTGTAAGTGATGTTGAGCATTTTTTTTCATGTGCCTATTGGCCATCTGCATTTTTTCTTTGTAGGAGCGCCTTCTTCGCTCTTGTGCCCACTTTTTGATAGGCTTCTATGTTTCGTTTTTGTTGAATTGTGTAACCTCTTTGTAGATCTTTGATGTGGAGTGCAGATATTTTCCCCAATCTGTAGGGTGTTTCTTCATCTTGGTTATTGCCTCTTTTGCTGTACAAAAGCTTTTTAGTTTGATGTTGTCCCGGATGTTTATTTTCCTTCATTTTCTTTGCTTCAGGAAGTAAGGCCTAATTTTTGAGCTGTATATCATGGAGTATTTTGCTTATGTTTTCTTCTGTATATTAATGGTTTCAGATCTTACATCCAGATCTTTTATCCCCTTTGAGTTGGTCCTTGTGTATGGTATGAGGTAGTATTCCAGTTTCATTCTCTTACATGTAGCAGTCCTGTATTCCCAGCACCATTTATTGGAGAGGCTGTCTTTGTTCCAGTGTATATTTGTATATATATTTTTTTTGCTTTTTTGTCGAAGATTAGTTGTACATATATGTGTGGTTTTATGTCTTGGTTTTCAATTTGGTTCCATCAGTCTATTTTATCTGATATAGGTATGGATACCCCTGCCTTCTTTTCAGGGCTGCTTGTTTGTAGAATTGTTTTCCAGCCCTTCTAATCCATGTTTATCTTTGACTCCTAGGTGTGTTTCTTGAAAACAGTGGAAGGTTGGGTTCTGTTTTCTAATCCAACCTGCTACTCTGTGTCTTTGTTTTGGTTAATTTACTCCATTTACATTTAGGGTGATTATTGATACATAGGCGTCCATAGTTGCCATTTTGTTTATCAATTTCTTGTGTGTTTATTCATATCCTTTTTGGAGTCTCCCAGTTCATTCCTCTCTTGGTTTAGATTTTAAGGCTTCTTGTAATATTTCTGAGTTGGGGTTTAGTAATAGTGAATTTCTGAAGATTTTGTTTGTCTGAGAAGGTCCTTAATTTTCCCTCATAGGAAAGAAAAATTTGCAGGATAGTTTTTCTTGGCTGGCATTTTTAATCTTGGAGTAGTGTTTCTTCAGAGAAGTCTGATGTCAGACTAACAGGTTTTCCTTTATAAGTCATCTGTTTCTTCTCCCTCGTCACCATCATTATTTTTTCTTTGTCTTTGACTTTTGGAAGCTTCACTATTATGTGTCTTGCTGTAATTCTCCTTTAGTTGTGGTAATTTGGTGTTCTTCTAGTTTCCTGTATGTCTGTTTTCATTTCCTTCTTCATCATCTAAAATTGTGAAGGAAAAATGATTGGATAGATAGAGAAGTTGATTGAAGCTTATACTTCTTTGCATTTTGACATAGCAACATAGCATTTCTGCTTAACTTTTAAGTAAAAAATCATAATATGAAAAAGGGAACTGGAAACAAGTGTTAAAACACCACAGCTATGTCAGCATTTTCCAAATGGTTTGATAGACCCACAGTGACCCACACATTTACCAGGTTGCTCATGAGTTGTTTCTATGACACATCATATTGTTAAACCTTAGAGTTTCTTCCAGGCAGTGACTAACAACAGATCAAAGTGAGAATTAGAGCTGAAACAAATAAACTGTTTCTTCTGAATTCTGTGCTGGTGGTTGAGTAAGTGTGGATTATTTCTCTCCTTTTCTTATTTAGAGTTAACAAAATTATTTAATGTGCTGTATAGAACTTTAGAAGGAGATTTAATGGGCAGTTTCCCCATCATAAGTTCATTTTTTTCTTCACAAAAATATACTCTCAGATATAAGGTTTAAGAAATTTAGCCATAAAAACCTTCCCATTCCTCTTACTTAGGATGACTTCTTTCTACTAGTAAAGATATTCCTACATTTGCACTGTAAATGGGGCTATTTATAACCTGGTAATAGACTAAACATTTATTCAGACAACACTAAACCTACATTTAGAATTTGTAGAGTATACATGTCTATGTATCTAAATGGCTAAAAGTGGTCTATTTCTTAAGTACATTTCAAAATAATAGCTTTCTGCAACAGCAATTAATTTCAAATGCATCTGCATAGCATGTGTCGCTTAAGCATTCAGTTAGAGAATGGTAGCTTTTTTGTAAATGTCTTAAAATGCACTAAAAAAAATACCAGAATCTCAAATATTACTACTGGTATTTTTTTACTTAGAGCTTTTTAAGAAACAATTCAATCCTTTTTGGCTTGTAACTCTAGTTTTTATTGTCTTATAGTTACTAAATAGATCATCTATTGAGGGGATCTTTTAAAAACTACAGCCAAAAACAGACATTGGGGCTAAGAGGCAGAGCAGCGTGCAACAGTGGACTACTTCTGACACTAGCACAGGCTCCTAGCAACTGCAGTTCCTTGTGGAGTCCTTATGGACATCTAAGATGCAGAGAATTCCTGGGGACACACCTCCAAGGCAGCTGCCTTCCTGAACATTTCCTGGGAAAGCTACAGACACCATTTTGGATTGTGACCAACCAGAGACTACGCAGGAAAAAGAAAAAAGAAATCTGCAAGTCTTAGGTGGCTTCACCAGTCAGCCTTTGAATAAAAGGAACTGTATGCTTCACAAGTTACTTTCTTTTTTGAATATTCTTATATTGAAATGATTTTTCCAAATTTGTTAGGATTTGAAATTTGTGTTTTATTTTGCTCACATTGCAAATTTTATGCGCAGTTAAATTTTCTTGCTAAATGCCTTTGATTTTTCTAATTACCTTACAGCACTTACTGTAAGGTGAAATCAAGTCTTCAAGATCTCTTGAGATGTACAAATAAATTATTGGTGGGAAGTGGCCTTGTGGAAGACATGTTTATATTAGGGTCATAGGGAGGCTTTCTGAGGTCAGGCAAATTGCTATGGAGTATGTTTTTACAGCTCATAGAACCGTAGTATCCCTAGCCAGAAAAATAGTGTGGTTAATACTTTTTTTTTTTTAATTTTGAGCCATCCTCACAAAAATTTTATTAATTAGATGTATTACTGTCTTCATTGACATATCAGAAAATTAGTTGCCTAGAGTACTTAATTAAGCTCATGTTGCTTCTAATTGTAAAATGATAAGGGGTAGCATGCTAAGGACTTCCACTGGGCTAACAAAAAGGAAAATCTTTTCACAAAAAAAAAAGGTAATGACAATCTCAGTCACACTGTGGTAGGTTTTCTGTTGAATCCCATCTATAAGTGCCATGGATAATGGTTTAGTGGAATAAAAAATGTATTGTATTGACGTCTGTTGAAATTTTAGAAGAATTGGTTTGAAGTTTAGGTTTCCTTCCCAAATGAGGCACTTTTCCTAAGCCAGGGTCTTTTTATTTAAGGATGAAATTTCTTTCTTCCCTTTGTAGTCTCAAAACATGAAAGAACTTTGTGAATTACAAATTAAGTACTTTGCTAAATTGACTTGTCTTAATTACACTATTGTTCACATTGATTGCAATCTTTTAGCATTTTCCTCCTAAACAATGGGCTAGTTTCCTTCTCAGGTTGTTTAAGCTCCTGAATATCAGCCTTAGTTAAACTGAAAATAGAGGCCACAGCTAATCCATTTTGTCCAGGAGAACTTTTCTCCTGCATCCTTGCTTAGAGGGAGAAATTTTCCTGTGGAAAGCAGGTTTCCATCATTACTCTGTTGGTTCAGATAAGTTTTTATACCTTAGACGTACTAGTGTACTAGTCTGGAAAAGTCCCATTTTATAAAGATGAAGTAGTAGGATAGCCAGCTACTTGTACCAAAACACCTTCCCCTTTTGTATCCGGTAGATCTTTCTTTATGCAGGACCTTGATGCCACTCTGAAAGCTTCCTCAACTTTCTCAATTTATAGGGGGAACGCTGTTGTCCTACTTCCCAGCGTGCTTTGCAGATACTTCTGAGGGAGTACTTATGCCATTGATATGGAATGATTGATAGCATGCCATCATCAATCTTCCAAGCTGAAAACTGTTTATCTCCCTGTTTATCTGCAGCTCATAATCCTCTTGGGACTTTATAGGTGCTTAGAAAATGAAACATACTGCTCTTGTTTCTCAAAGGTTTTTCACAAGTCATACTGTTACGGAGCAGCCCCTTTCCCCCCTAACAATACCAGCTTATGGAAAGTTCTGATTTCTGGAAGCACAAATCAGGAATTGTGTTATGTTTATATTTTTGGTTCTCTGCTCTAAAAAAATACCTGCTTCCAGAGTTTACGAGTTTCGTGTTTTCAAACTGATTTTCAGGATGTTAATTCTGACAAAGCAACCAATGTGTGCAGCATTGTATTTAATGTGAAAGTTAGAAGCACTCCCACTAAGATATTTTATAGTTTCTGTTTCTCTAAGAAATGTCGCATCTAACTTGACTGTTTTGGTTATAGAAGGGAAGTCTTACTAAATTGCATTTTGTATGTGAGAAGCGCCCCCCCCCCCATATAACAATGCTAAGCATTCTCTGTCTTAATTGCCAGTTTGTCTTCTCTCATGGTTAAACTTAGTGAGAAGTGGCTTCAACTTTGTATTACTGACCATTTTGTTTTCTGTGTATAACATATCACGTGATAAATAATAGGTCTTCAGTAAATATTTGTTTAAGAAAGAAAGCAATATCTTATTGTGTTATTATTGATGCAGTTTTGGAGCTATTGTTCCTTTTGTTACTTAGAGACTGTTGGATCACCCAAACATATTTGTCCAATAATTTCGAAGAAAGCAGATAAGACTTCACGATTTTGCTCTGTTTATGTTGAGACACAGGGCAAGCTAGTGTTATTAGGCAGTTTTAGGGACAGTGCAGGAGGGGACCTCTGAAGAATTAAGGGAGTCTTCAGAGATAAGGATAACCAAGGAAATGCAACCAATTCCACTGGGAAAAACGAACACCGTTGTTAATACTAGGGGAAAAACAAACATCCTAGCACCACAGATAATCTTGTTAAGGATGGTCCTGGTTTTCTTCAGATGATAAGATAAAGTGTAAAGATGCTCACCGGGAGGGCTAGACCATAAAGGTAAAGCGATAAGCATAACAAATGGGAAAAGAAAATACTGTTAAAATAAGGAATGTGAAATTCCTCAGTACCCCCTGAGAGCTAGCCAATCAGGAAGAGAGACTGAACTTTTAACATAATGAGAGAGAAAAAGTATATATTGCCAATGTAATATCCCATACCGGCTCATCTTGGCCCCTCCCAGGTACTTTATACCTGGGAGTCTTTCTTCTTTGTCTCTTTTCTTCCTAAATAAACTTTTCTTTCAAAGACAAGATTTGTCTCTCTCTGCTTACTTACTCCAAAAAGTCTGAATTCCTTTCTATGGTTTCGCGAGATAAGAACTCGTGGTAAAGCGGCAGCAGTTGTTACACACGCCGGCATCAATGTTTAAATTGTGTGTGTGTGTGAGAGACTACGGAGGCCAAAATAAGGTTCAGACTTAAAAACAGAAAAGTTCTAACTTTCAGAACTACTAAAAAGGAAAGTATCTGTAAGGGGAAACAGTGAGCTCTATGACTGCAGTAGTTTCTAAAGTTTGGAGAAGATGGAATCCAGCCTGCAGCTGTGCCCGCTAGGCCACCTCCACAAAGTGCAGTGAGCTAAGCTGGGGCTACATCAGGCTGATTCTAAGTTTCTTCTGCCCTCACTGTTGAAGAAATTATGAGCGTGTAAATTTGTAATGAGTTGAGGGATTTGGCTACTTTACAGAATGGTAAATTTCTGCTTTCTTAGCCAACTTCAGACCATATATTTAGGATAAACTGAATCTTTTTAGCATTGGGAAGTAATAAATTTGTGACCCTGCGTTTTCTAAATCTAGCTGTCAATTTTTTTATTAAAGTGCTGTAAGTTATTTGCAACCACTGTAGCAATTTCCTGGCATTTTCACAGTACAATAAAAAACAGCTTTTGAAATGAATGGTTAAGTCTAATTGGGCAGAAAGCTAGAGATAATCCTTGAAAACTGACATAAGGAAGTGTTTCTGAAGAAAAATGGGATACTCTGGGTGCTGTTGACAGTTTAATAAGAGTATCTGTTCCCTTTGTTTCTTTGGGACTGTTGGACCATCCAGCCAAATTTTCATTACTGAAAATTTTGAATATTTGGAAAAATAATTTACTGATGAGTTTTGAAATCTTTTAAGTAAGGGATTTAAGTAGTTCCCAACCCATTTACTTAAAATATGAAAATATTACAGATTTAGAGAGTTTTTAAGAATGACTGCTTGGTATTAGGAATGATAGTTTAATGGATTTTAAATGAAACATTTGTATTAGTCATATGTAAGATTAAAAATTGAATGTTGTGGTGTTAGAGCCATTTCAAAACATCTGTTTTTAACAACCTTTAAAACAGCTGACAGAACTCACACTAGATATACGACAAATGTAACTTTCATCATTTTCTCATGTTTGTTTATATTTTCTTTGCTAGTATTTGCAAATCCAGGTTTCTTTTCAAGTATTTTTTAAAGCATCTTTTTTTATCATTTAAAGTTTTGTGAAACTTAAATCAGATACAAGTTAGTTTAATCTACATGTACAAGTTAGTTTAGTCAGACAGGGATGTGTGAAAGGAAATATTCTGTGTCCTACCAGTGTCCTTGGTTGCACACTATACATACTTAGATCCTTGGTTGCACACTATACATACTTAGAAGTGAATATCAGGCATTGTAACCGAGGAGAGATATCAGTGCTTTCTTTGCATGTTTAACAATGGTGGATGTTGTTTTTTTTTTTTAATTTTATTTCTATGTTACAAATATAAATAAAAATTGCAATTATTTATCTCCACTATTCTGGCGGATCATCTTTTCATCTCATCTTGGAAACCACCTTGACAGGATATGACCCATTTCAACTGTTCTGTTGACAGTTTTGGCTAGTTTATAAATTCTTTGATAGCATTTATGAAGTTTTAAATAGTTATGTATCCCCAATGGTGAACAAATGGTAGTTCATATTGTTACTTGTTCAGTGTTTTGTAGTTTTTCTAATTCTTCAAATTCTCAATTATTTTTGTTTGTTTAGCCTTAAAATGAAGTTAGTGGAATTGGTATAATTCCCATTGTCAGATGAAGAAATTGAGACTAGTTATAACTTGTTTCATGTTATATAAAAGATAAGTGCAGAACTGGGCAATGCCCTTCTTAGAAAACTGTGTTTATCTCCTTGCCAATTTATTACATGAAGTAAGTATCCAAATATTTGCTTAACATATTACTAATGAGGCAGACAGAGGAACAAGGTGTATGTGGTTTACCCTGCTCAGTGTCAAAAGCAGTTGAGTAATAGATTTGAGATAAGTAATAGAAGTAGTAGCAAAATATCCCAACCTGTGCATTTTCAATTGTTTAATATTTTGAGGTAGGCCTGTTAGGATTGTTGATAAAAGGAGTGAGAGACTGAAGGAAGGGGTTTTTGAGAATATTTGGTGGCCTAATTGTAATATTGATGAAGCAAGCGGATAGTTATTAAATCCTAGTAGTCTGATAACCCTAAATGGAAGGGCTTGAAGACTGTTCAGATTTTATGGAATTATCTATTTGTTACAATGGGAATTGGCATAAATAAATAGTATGTAAATTATCCCAGTGGTACAAGATAGTCTTCAGAGTCCGATTGTTACCAAATTTACAAACTCTCATTTGTAAATACACAGCTAAGATCAGAACACTGAAATGCCTATGTTTGGAGCATGGAGTTTATTGTAGGTTGGCGAGCAAGGAGACAGGAGGAAAATAAAAAAAAGCTCAAGGAGAAAGGGGTTATATTAGAAACAAAGAAAATGTAAAAAAAAAAAAAAATCAAGGTGGAAGATCCTGATTGGTTACTTTCTGTGTAACTCGGTTTTGGGTCCAAAATTGCAACCAAATTTAGCAGCATTTGATTCTGAATTAGATTGTCAGTGAGCCAGGCATCTTAATTTCATCTTCCTTTTTTTTTTTTTTTTTTTTTTTTTGGTCTGGACAATAAGAGTTCAACTTCCAGGACAGCAAACCTCTTGTGTTGTTTCCATTCTGAAATACAACTTATCAACTTATGAAAAATCAGTTGTATTTACCATAGGTGGAGGTATTTTTGTACCATTGTTTCACTCTTGAAAGCTTCCTCTGCTGTTCATGTAAGAAAAACAGAAAAAAGAAAAGACTACCACGACCACCATGGGTTCAAAATATTTATATACACAAAATAAATGAAAACCCTTAGGAAAAAATATTGGCTACATTTTAAGCTGAATACTGTAGTCAAATTCAATTTTTAGTTTTTGTGTGTGTTTACGGTACCATTGCCAACAAAAATCTAGTTTCTATCCCCTGTCAGACAGCTGATGCCCTGAGCCCAATGTGCATTCTCCCCACCCTGTGCCTCTTTGCTAAACACCGTTTAGTTTTTCTACAATTTGAGAGTTTGTTTTTTGTTTTGGCAACTTCTTATTGGCATTAATGTGAAAAATCACAGTAGCAGGAAAAATGACATCCCCAAGAGCATTCAAACCAAAAAAATATCGGGTGCACGTGCTGCTTACAAATTACATGTTGTGCTTACAACGTACTAAGTTCTTAAGTACTGGAATAACAAATACTGCTTTTCTGCTAAGCTGCTGAGGTCTTTCCCAGTAGCTGCATGCCCTTGCCTTACCTTACAGAAAGTAATTTCAGGCTTTTGAGAAACCCAAATTGTTTTGAATTGGGGAAACTAAAGAATATAAATACAAATTTTAAATGGAAAATAATTTTATCCATTTAATGTGCCAGAAATGGTACACAAGTGGATATTTTCCTTAGTATATTTTTTGAATTCTGACAACAAAAAGTTATATTTGTTTATAATTATTTAGGATGCCTTAGAATATGTAAACATTTTATATAAATAAGTTATGGGTCAAAATTAAGATCTGTCTACCTAGTTTTAGGCATATTATTTTTTTAATAGATTTATTTTATTTATACAAGAACGGGGAGGATGAGAGGATTCACCAGAGACAGAGTGGGGAGCAGAACAGGCAGACTGACAAAATGCTAAGAGGAGCAGCGGGCGAGACAGGAGAGGTCTGCTGCGCCATGTGGGTTGCTCTGAGGCTGGCTGGGATCAAACTGGCACTACAGAGGCTGCGAACAGCTTCACAGCGCTGCGCTCAACCGCCTGCACCACCAGGGAGGCCCAGTTTTAGTTATATTAAATATGAAATCCACAGCTATAAGGGATGTGCAGTCAGGAAGGTTATGGTGTTTTGGGGAACTTCCAAGTCAACATAAATTTACAAACAGGGAAATTGAGGTGTGGAGAGAGAAGTGGACATTACTGAAGTAATGTGCTATCAGAACTTGGGTCTCTCTGAGATCCTGGCAGCACCACATATCTATCCATTAGAGACTTCGTATCTCTTCAATTTCTTGTGTTGTTGATACAGGACATTATATTTATTCTTCTTACCCTTCCAGAGTTCACTCATTTATTCCTTGAATAACAAGTTGCTTCCTAATGCCGGTTACCTAGTTACTGACATAAAAAATCCTGTTCTCACAGTGCTTATGATTTTGTAGAAAAACAAGCAAAAAAAAAAAAAAAACACTTAATAGATTGTTGTGAACATTAAGTGATTTTGTATATCTCAGATACAATCTCTGGGAAGTCCTTTATCATCATCCTGATTTTATAGAAGAGGACACTGGATGTACAGAGAGGATTGTATAGCTAGAAAGTGGCAGAACCTGATGCAACCTAGGCAATAAAGCCTGAATACCTCATCCTAAGTGGAAATTCCTTGCCAAAAATGGTAAAAAGACTGAAGTAGTCAAGGCAACAATGGCAAACAGACCAGAAGGGCTGCTAGAGAGTGTAGGTGGCCCTTAAAGGGCCTTGGGCAATAATTTGGACATGACTCCTAAGGTCCATTAAACTCCAATTTTCTTAAAAAAAATTTGATAAAGTATTGATACTTGTAACCTGTGAACCTCATTTGAATTTCCCATTAAATTTTGTGAGCTTCTTTTCTGTTATCCCAATGAGAAGAATAATGCTTATCTATTATCCAAGGAATCACTGTAAGGCTCAAATGACAGATGGAAGGAAATCCTTTGCAAATTGAGTTTTCAGCTTTTGCTGCATGATTTCTAGTTATCTCCTTGCAGGGTTTTGGCAACTGACCTATATGTATATACAGCAGCAGGAGGGCACAGATCAGGACCTCTATGACCAAGCAGACAGGTAAAGGAGAGTCCTGGAGTCTTCAGTGGCTTTTTCAGTTTTTATTGGGATTTTACCAGGCACACGGCAGGCAGGGGTGCTGGGGGACCGGGATGCTGGCAGGCCTCCCAGCCCCCAGCAAGTCTTCACTCTATCTGGGCTCTCTGACATTTTCTCTTGGTCTTGTTCTCTCTCTTCTGTTTCTCTGTCTTCTGCTGGTTCCTTTTTCTGCTCTCCCTTCCCTTCTCTCTTCTCTTCTGGTGGTTCCGTTCCCCATGATGCTGCCCTTATAAATACAGTTTCAGCCCAGGTGAACCCACCTACACATGCCCATACCCCACTCCAGGTGCCCGCCATCAGGCATGCATTCAGGACTGCGGGGTCCATCATCCATCCTAATGGCGGGAGGTCAGAAAAGCCTGGTAATTACTTATCTTACAGTATACTTCTGTATTTCTTTGTTAGAAAAATTATATGAAGAAGTGATACATGGTATTGGAAGGAATTGGTTCTGGGAATCTAGGTTATAAAGAGATCCTTTAGGTGTTTTATTTTTGTCCTGACACCTTATTATTTCATGTTTTCTTGAGTCTCTAAGATATATAAGTAATCTGAAAAATGCTTTTAAAGCATGGAATGGTAATAAATGTTAAGGCTCTACAGCTCTGTAATACTGACCATGAAGACTGTAAAGTCCTTGAACAAATCTGAATGACGAAGGACTGCAGCAAAATCGGTCATGCTCTAAGGGTTTTCCCTCCACCAACCTCATCCCCAAATAACAAGTCACCCTTTTCAGAGGGGAAGTTCTTTGGGGTTAGCAATCAGGCATATAGCTATGACTCAGTTGTGCCTGTTAAGGCCCATTTCCTATCACTTGAATACCTCTTAATCTTTTTGTATGTTGAGAAAGTTATTTCATCTGTGATCTAAATTTCTGCTTAGATGGGGAGATTTCTCAGCCTTTCTATGCATAGTTAGCTTGATGAACCACATGTTGTAATGATTATTTACATATTCGTTTATTTCATTGAATTCTAAATGTCTCAAACTCTGACGCCACATCATTACATGTGTGCATGCATGCCTAGCACTTTATGTGATTCTTGGGAAATACTGTGTGAGCAACCAATAGTTGACAAATGTTTGAAAGAGCTATGTATAATACTAAATGCATTATGCAACTGATTTTTCAGAAGATACAGATATAATCCCTGGCAGATCAAACTTAGCAGCTTCTAACAACACTTGACCATCCAACATAGATGCCTTATTCTAGGACTTTTGGACTAGGATTCCATTCATAAGAAATAAGAATATATTTCTTCATATATTCTGAATATATTCCATTCATAAGAATAGTTTTGGGCCTCCCTGGTGGCACAAGGGGTTAAGCACCACACTATGAAGCTATCTTCAGCCTCTGCACCACAAGTTCGATCCCCATCCAGGAAGGTGACCCACATGGCACAGCAGACCTCTCCTGTCTCGCCTGCTACTCCCCTCAGCAGTGTATTTCAGTCAGTCTGCCGGTTCTGATCCCCACTCTGTCTCAGGTGAATCCTCTCACTTCCCATACCTCTG